AACACGTACGTTTATGAATTAACTCACATCGGTTAAAAAGTACGTAAACCAAGAAATTGGTTTAAAAACAATAAATAACACTAACAATGTTTTGTTTTTTTAAAAAATCTAAGGGAATACTCCCTAAACTAAGCTCTCACGCTGGAATGTGCGAAAAACGCAATTCGTCTATCGCGTGACGATCGACTCTAACTATGAGACAACTTTCCACCAACCCTGTTTAAGAAAGGGTTAAAAACCAAAAACACAGGCACGAAAGTTGCTCGCAGCGCCAGTAAAGTAAAGGCAGAGTCTTACCTTTATTAAGCTGTCTCTTGGTGAGATGATACACACGTTGAGAATGGATATCTAAACGAAACTAGCGAAGGAACGGTAGCTGAAGCTTGCGTTATTTCTCTAGGTTCCGATCAGACTACCGAAGTTCCCGGATGTTGGAGAATGGGAACTTCGGTACCATTCGGGATCCTTCGGCGATACGTAAATCACATAGGCCATTTATACTACAGCAGCGCGCACAAAGCCCATAGAAATACGTGGTACAGTGGTGCGCGTCTTAGCAACGTAGAACGTCCGTGACGTAGCTCCGCCCCCGAGGATTAGCATGTTCTAATTCATAGAAACGCGCCCTGAAAACGCTTTTGTTTTCCATTGGAACATTGTGCAAGTGTTCGTTTTATGGGCCACTAGGCGTTGATCGGGCGCGTGACGTGCGGGTACTGGGTGCCCACCGGCTGTTCAGTATTTGTGACCGAAACGTGGGTCTGCAAGCTACGTCTGAACTTCTTATTACATTCGCTGCCATCGCCGTCCGTGTCGTAAAGGAATCACGTGCATTAATGGCTAGGTAAGGTAAAAATTATCTGTGCATAACATACAAATCTTTGTTGTTTTTTTACTTCTCCGCCTTTACAAGAGTTGTTAACGGAACCATCGTGACATCTCTCGGCGTAGAATGCCTTCCGAACTTAGACCGGGAACTAGCAGCGTAAACTGACTGCAGATTTGCGCAATTTACGCAGTTTATTTCTACAATATTTCTAAGTTTCATTTATCATTATGTAGTAAAGAAATTACTGAAACGATTTATTATAACAGTAAAATACTTGCCGACCGACGATTGACTTCGAAACATTCCAAATTTCGAACAAACTCCCGGCACTCCTTGCGCGATATGCGTAGATCGGTGTAGAAGACGCCGACCTGCAGCG